GGGTAAAATACACCGTTTAAAAATTCTAGCATGTGAATTTAGGACTATAAAATAAGATCTATGATGCTGCAATGACTAGTGTGAAGTGTTGACTTCAATAAGTTTATACGTTAAATGAAATTGTGTGACAAATGATTAAAATAAATATGGTTAACATGGAATGAGAGAGATAATAATGCAATAACGTAAAATGTAGAATAGCATGAAGAACAAACGTGTTCAACTAATCAGAAACCTAGGAAACAAAACGGTTGAAAATAAATTTCCGACTGAACCTATTTGTTGCGTCCTTGATATGTCTACCCACTTTGTGCAGAATAATTTGTCTAATCTAGATTAAGACCTTGACGAGATAGGCTGACTGGCTTAACCTTGAGGCTAGTATAGATTGCGGGAGTTCGAAGTGAGACAAACTGCTTGGGTTAGAGAGACGAAGACTATTTTATCGCATGATTGGCTGACAAGCACGCGAATGATAGAAGACAAGACAGTTGTAACATAATTACGATCTGGTTCCCGATTTCAGATTAGTGTATAAAGATACATGAACAAGCAGATGACTAACTAGAATACAACGCGCAAACAATAAGGAAAATATAGTTATTTCACTATGAATTGAGAAGTTAATAACTTGGAAGGGGTTTTGTGGAGATTTTAGCAATTTCAACAGTTGAAAGCATGAGTCAATTGAAGCTAGACCACCATGGAAAACCTGGAAGCACAGGACGGCCGTTTCGTCCTAGTATGGGACTCCTCAGCAGTACGCACCCACGATCCCGCCCCCGCGAGATTCGAACCCAGGACCTATCATTCTCGCGGCAGGCGCTTAACTAACTAGACCGCTGAGCTGGCATCCAACGGTTTTAATGTCTAACTTCAACCAATCCACGAAGTTGCGCCACTGTCACGATTATCTTCAGCGAGCTGATATCTCACAACAGACCTGGTTAAACTCCAAAACATTACATTTAAATTACAATAGCTTTGGAACAGAAAAGGCTATGGCACTGAATCATACACCAAACGAAAGCTTATGATCTGCAGAATAGACTGTGGACAAAAATAAATGTTACTGTTTTACAAGCTTTGAATTAAACGAAATAAAATCCCCAAAAAAATAGCTCCCGTAGTTTGTTAAAGCTTCTTGTTTTTCTGTTCATATGACTAATTTTCTCGGTAGTGAATTAAATAGAGAAAAACTTGGAGTATTAGCACCAAGCCTGAACACTGAATGATCAAAGACGTCAGTAATAAGATAGAGAACGAATTGACCAGATCCCTAAAAAATCTCAGAGACCAAACAGGTAATCTCTTCAAATTTTATACGAAACAATTAGGTCGATGAGCACCGATTTACCAAGGTTATACAGACTACCGAAATACACAAACCGGATACTATTCCCCTTATCATACTGTAGCAGTTTTATTAACAATTTTAAAACGACTCCACAAACACCTAGTTAAGTATAGTATTAAGAATATATTGTAGTCCATCGACAAGATCAAACACATAAACCCTAAAGGATAAACGATGATATCCTTATGCATAACATCATTGTTTACAAACATCTCACTCAGGGAGACTGTCCAGTATATCTATGAACAACACATGCAGACTACAATCCTTGTGGATATCATTAAGGAATGATTACTAGAAGGTACTATGAACACCAACTTCAAATTCAATGGCAAAATCTTAAAATATTTAGAAAAGAAAACCTTATTTGGTGACTAATGTTATCTATTTATTCTTGTTTGTTAGGAGGTTTTGTAAAGATTGGTCTACGGGTGACATTTATCACATTCTTTTATTAATCGAAATACTACGGAATGTCTAAGGAACATTGAAAATATATTTATCATGCGGTAATGCACCTCAATACATCACTAAGTATCATATATAGATTTTCAAGTCTCGAGGAGAGCGCTTGTTACTATTAGACTAGTAAGTTGGCATTCAGTGATACACATTTTCAACCTCAAATGGTGTGAAGACGATCCATCACCTATATATTAAACTGCTCTTGAACAAAACTATAATCCTGCACTCACTAGTGAATTATTTTGATATGACCTTTCAAATTTTCAGTAGTAAGTCACAACCAATAGTGATCAGTGATATTGCAAGTGAAACAGCTGTTATCAGTGCCATCCAGTGGTCATTGTGCTATATCATGGATGTTGTAAATGGGCAACAATGGATATCAATTCAGTAGTCTAATGGTCTTCAGTGCACACTGAGAGACTTGAAGGTCCTGAATGCTCACATTCACTTAGAAGTAATGTATAACCTAGCACATGTGTGTACAGGTCCAAATTGCACATAAACATCAGCCCAGTAACATAAAATTATAAAAACAAATGTCAGCAAAGTTAAGGTAGTAGCAGCGTGATGGACGGTTGGGAACATTAGGCATATACAATATGATGATTTGAGACGAAAGAACGTAATCCTACCATAGCAAACATAATGCATCGAAGTAAACGATGGTCAGATATACTTAATACATATACCAACCACCTCAGTCGATGAAGAATCATTACTTATCAACCGACATGGCATCTTTACCTAGACACCCGACGTTTAAGCTGAGCATTGGTCACTCAGTGGTCCTAACATACTACTAGGGAATATCATGTTTATTATTATTATTATCATCGAAGAGAGAATAAGTTTTTTAATTCGAATAGAAAACACCACGAGGCTCAATTTCTTACCAATATATTATAATTTGACGCATAAATAATTAATCAAGGGAAAGAACAAAACACATGAAGAAAAGCAAAAGAATTACGGCGAAACATTTTTCACATAAAAATCAAAATACGTAATCACGTATATGTTAAACGGACAGTTAATCAATAGAGTTGAAATTAAGCATTTAATCAAAAAGAGGATAACTAAAGTAAAATATTCACGATTAACATAATTAATTCGATTATTTCGCGTTGATAATAAGGAAAGGAAACCGAGATAATAAGCTTACAATGCTGAATATATATTCATATGGTAAGAAGATAACGAGAAAAATGGGAGGAAATTAGGAAAACTTCCCTAAATATTCTTCGGTAAATACGTCCGCATATATTTTGGTAAAATGTTTGTTAAATAGTATAGTTTTTGTGTATGCTTTCGAGTCAGGTAGATTGTAAACTATTATTGAACTCACATACTATTGTGAAGTAGTTAGCCTTGCATAAATCAAACATAGGTTAATTATAAATAGTTCAGTATTTCATAAGTTAGGCGCTTGCTGTGAGACCTTAATTTCCAAAGCTCGATTCACAGTGAGATCTTTAGTTTGGATTTCAGGGGAGTTCTTTATTAAGACGAGACAACGGTCTAGTGTTTTTTTGGTTTTATTTATTTTTATTTTATTTTATTTTAACACATAAGTATAGGTACAGGGAAGCACCAAGTACATATGCGCCACACGAATCTCAATTGATTTGTGTGAGGGCTGTGATACTGCTCCGGTGCCAAAACCGAAGCAGGTGGTTTTCTTAGGGGGCCACACCCCGAGCCTTCGACCTGAACGTCTGACCCACAAGGCAGTGGAGCATCGTGAGGAGATGCAGTCCCATGGTAGCCGGTGACCAACGATTGGTTCATACGCCATTTGTTCTCGCAGGATACTGGAGCCCATGTGCACCATTGGTTTGGGGTCCGGTTAAAGCGCCGGACATTCGCTTTTCGTCCTCTCATTTTCGTAAACAACACCCGTGGTGCGAGAAGGCAGTGAGTAGGACTTCCCTGGCAGGGGCTGTATACGCGTGGCCATGTGAGAGCATTTCGAGAGGGAGAGTGGACTATCCCCACTCTCGGCCGTACCAGGGCATTTGGGGGCGTTTTTTTGGTTTATGAAACCCTGACACTAATAAGTATGTTTCTCAGCTTTGTAAAAAGAATGTCCTAAATATGCTCAATCTGTTGAACTTTCCTATTTATGATGCGTTATGATTGATGCATTTTACTTGGATATAATCACATGAGCCTTAACAGTAAAAGGTATCAGTGGACCACCACTCTTTCAGTTTTCCATATGTATACTGTATTTAAAATTTTGTCATCTGTTCTTCTTGTTTAGTGGGAAATTGCTGCGTCGTACAGTGTGATTTTCATGAGAGACTTCATTTCAAGTCTTAACTTTCACTACATTTGCGTTTTTCAGCCGGGATGTTGGGCTGCATCTCAGTGAGATATTCAGAACAGACAGCTGTTGACAACTTTAGACGCTTGGAGTGAAATTACTTTCAAGTATACAGTACTCACTAACTAAATGAACGAAAAGATGGCCGAAAGTGATCCTGAATACAACTTAATTATTGAACATTGAGAAAGTTGCGCGTAACCTTAACTCCGTGTAATACTTTTTAGCCTTTATTGTGCCAATTTAGATGGAGCATTTAATGACATATTTATCAATTAATTTAATGCACATGGATTCTGCTGCAATAGGGATCTAATAATAAAAAAAAACGCGTCACATAAATGAAGTGATAATAATGAGAATAAATGAAGTAGAAAAGAATGAAATTAGTAAATAAATGAACAATAACAATATATGATGAAATACACTTCAGTTACAAATACAACTGAAATAGAATTATTTTAATTAAGGAGTTTATCTTAATATTACAAAGATTTTAAAATAAAACTAGAGTATGATCACTACTAACTTCTATTCGTAGTCATATCTGTCAATATCCCAAGCACCTAGGTTGTATCATCTCTAGAACCTCAACCAGGTCATGACAGAACGACAGATATAAGTTCAATACAGATTTTATTCATGCTACGAGGTATTATCATATAGAGCCTAACACCCCATTTTTCCACTCAGTACAAGGATCGACAAATAATTAATACATGGTGTTGGATGATCTTCATCACACACCACAGCTTTTAAAAGGTTTGTAGAAAAAACAATTAGAAAACTGGTAAGAGATATACGTATCTAAAATCAATAAAACATTTCGAAAAATGAACAAGGACTTACTTGTCCAATACCTATATGTTCAACAGAATGATCAATTGTATCAGGGATACCATCAAAGGAATAATCAATACTCAATGCTTCTTGACTTTCTAAATCATCAATATCGCCAGAAAACTGTGTACCACTTAAACGTGCTTGTTCTCTACGTCGTTGACGTCGTTCACGCACTAAATAATAATAATAATAATAATAATAATAATAATAATAATAATAATGTTAACCGAAGAGAGAGAGGCTAAATAAAGCCAAGGTTGGATTATTTAATAAGAAATTTCTGTATTATAGGAATATAAACATTAAGTTCACCAAGGCAACTATTAAAAAAAGAACGGTTCAAAGTGTTATATTTTCACGACAAGTCCGTAATGTGACTCCTGAATTCGCTGAGCTTACTGGTAAGTCTCCTAACGATTATTCAGGCATAACCATATATTTTTCAATGAAATACTTTATTATTTTTAAAAAATTCGGTGCTGATTAATTAAACAATGAACTAAGAGGTATATATTTTAGTTAAAGAAGCTTTGTGGAGACTACTTCAATTTCCAGATTTTGTTCGTCACAGATTAATCTTAGTTAAAGTAGAACTGGAAACCAGGGAGAACTGAGCAGTTGTTTTGTCTCAGTATGAGAGTCTTCAGTGAGTCGATATGTTAATCAATCGTCTAGCCGCAAGAAGGTAAAGCTAAAAAGTATGAATTAGAAAACCAGTGTATAGATATGTTATATAACTGCTAGTAGTATTTGGTTGAAATGAGGGTTATTTTAAAGTATGTAATACATTCGAAGAGTGGAACGTCATTGTTAATCCCTTGAAGATTTTTATTTGTTTGGATTTCCTCATCAATGTTTAGGATTGCGATTGATCAGTATATTTCGGCATATGTACATCATATGAGGATTGAAGATTCTATTTTTATGCACACATCCTACACAAACACTGTGGTTCCTAAGGCATTAGGTCAGTACCTTGGATAACTGACGATAGTATAGAATAAGTTAAGAGTGTATAAAAAATAAACGCATTGTACTGATGCTTTTATGAAGCTGATAAACCTATAAGTTTGAATCGCATAAAAAAGTAAGCAATACATCATGAATTAATGGTATCTATTTCTTTTGGGATGATACCATTTCAGCTTAGCTAAAAATATCACTGATCCTACATTTATTTGTACAACAACCAATAAGTTGTGAATATGTGTAATTATCCCATAATTATTGATTACATGTTTATTTATAGATGTTGTTTAGTCTAATATTTTGCTTTCGGTTAGAATACAAAAAGAAAACAGAAATGCAAAACAAGGGAATTTTGACTAATTTGTACAGATTTATAAATTGTAGTAGTAAGCGTTGTATGAACTTCGGTGTTTTACTTAGAATACTATGTAAGCAATCAATCAGAATGCTAAACTTAGCAAATACGTATCTGACCCGCTGGTACTATTTACTAAAGATTTTACAGAGTATACATGCATTCAAGTACCCCACCCCCACTGACTACGTGAAAAATTACATATATGAGGGGTTATAGCATTTACAATTAATAGACGAACTAACATTATCTTGGACAGAATTCAACCGAATAAATAGGTAACTAGGTATCATACAGACACAATATATTTCAAATTTGGATAAATATATCGTTATTTGAGAACGGTATAAACATTCTACAGTCAATATCACTGATAATCATGCAAGTACAATTTTTGGGAACGAAGAAAACTCCTATACAAGAAGAAACGGTTGTCCAGTGGTTATCTGTGTTGTGACAGAGAGAATACTAGGAATGTTGAAACGTTTGGAACTATTTTGTGGATTGTTAATATATATTTGAGATAAATAAACTGGATGCCAAAATGAAGTGATAAAGGCTTGCCTGTGTACTCCTATAAAGAATCAAAACTGGGTATAGAAAGCGATATTCGAATAAACAGACTAGTCGGAGCTAAGATTATTTCACCTTAACCTACGGTCAACCTTGTCAGTCTAAGGCCATAATCGATCAAACCTTAAGACACTTGGTGATGGCCAAAATAACATAAATGGGGGATAGATAAAATATAACAAAGAATCTGATTGGCGAATATTTTCCATATATCGATAAACCTGTTGTCCAAACAGTTCGACCTAGGTCGGATAGTGGCCTGAACCAAAAAAAGAAAACAAGTGAATTTCGTCTGCTATTAATAAATCAGTTAGTTATGGGCAAAGTAGATACTAATAAATACATTTACCGGTTCACGTTTTCACACTGCATTAGCAAAGTAAAGTGAAACCGCCGATATTAATTCTAGAGCAGTTGAAATAGTAATCAAACAAGTGATAGTAGGATACACCGAGAACAGAAAAATTGATATTTCAAGAAGGAAAATGAATCTGAGGTACAATATTTTTAAAATAATATCTAAGGCTATAGAAAACGCGGATGGATTTGTTCCATCGCGACCTATTCTGTGCAACGCTTCGAATGCTGAGTTTTTTCTGTAGTGAATGAGAACAACAGTTGGGACTACCAAATGTATTTAAACACAATGTCTTAGTAAAATCTGAGATCCATACAATAAATACTGAAAAATGTCAATCAATCGTCTCAGACTTCATTGTTCCTTCGCTTCCACAGCTATCATTCTCTGTTCTGGTTCTCTTTTCTTCAATCTTCTTAACATTCTGATGCCAGCCATTTCACTTGAGATTGATGATACATACTACTTGTATGTGTCGACATCACTAGTACACAAAACACCTCCAATTAGATTTGCTATGAAACGAAAATCAGCTGCAACACTAACCTTAGGCAAGGGATGATATGAAGATTACCCATAAACTATATACATGTTTATAAAGGTTAGATAAGCCGCATGTTTTATAACCATATAGACGTATTTTTGTCTGTTTTTTTACTTTAAGGCAGACATGTGGTAGACATTAATGGATTCAGTAACTATGTAAAACCCATTTACTTATTCTAATATTCTTTATTTTTCCACAATCGGTTCGTTCAAATAAATAGTTTTTCATTAGTTAACAAAGGGCTCAATTGCGGTAATTTTAAGAATTAATAAACTGCAGACAAGCAAGTCAGAATCAAGAACGTGACTTTTAGGTTTTTGACAAAAAAACATATAGAAGCTTTAAGAAAACTTAAAACTAATGAAAATTTATCAATCACAAAACCGGACAAAGGACATGGGATAGTACTCATGGATAAAAAATAACTATATAAACAAAATAAAATCCCTTTTAAATGATAAAAGCAAATTTCAGAAACTGGTTGTGAAGAACGACGCAATGGACAAGATCGAAAAGCAACTAACAGATTCACTGAAAGAAATTAAACAACATGGTTTTATTTCAGAAAAGGTGTTCGAAATGTTGAAACCCACAGGAACGATTAGACCAAGGCTATATGGCCAGCCAAAAATACACAAAAGTGGCTTGCCCCTTCGACCAGTTTTAGATATGAATAACTCAGCGTATCATACTATAGCAAAGTGGTTGGTGCAAATTCTCAAACAATTAACACAAAGAAATTGTCAAGCTTAGTGTCAAATATCCCTTTGAATTTGTTGAGAATATAAAAAATCTGTCGGTCAAGAATAATTTCATGATATCACTTGATGTATCATCCTTATTCACTAACATTCCACTACCTGAAACGGTAGATTTTATTTGCAATGAACTAACAGTAAGTAGCATAGAAACCACAATTCCCTCATCCGCAATAAAACAGTTAATTCTTAAATGCACAATGAATTTCCAATTCAGATTTGACGAATATTATAGACAACTAGATGGAGTTGCCATAGGGTCACCATTGGGCTCTCTACTGGTGGATAGTTTACTTGCAAAACGAGAAGATGGACCACTTAAAAGCACAATTAGCCATTTACCAACTTATTATCACTATATAGACGATACTTTCTTAGTATTAGAAAAAAAAATGATAAGGACAATTTACTTAATATATTTAATAACGTTCGTCCTTCAAATAATTATACATCAGAAGATGAACAAAACAATAGCATATCATTTCTAGATGCCCAACTAACTAGACGAGCAGACGGAACTTTAGAAAGAGGGGTACACAGAAAGTCTACAACAGGACAATACACTTATTTCTAGAGTGCAGTTCCAATCAGATACAAAAGGAACTTGATAAAGATCTTGACTCATCGTGCCACAATGATTTGTCCGTAAGACATCATTGAAGATGAATTGGTTAAAATTCGGAACTTACTTGGTATGAATGGGCACCCTATGGAATTCATCGATAAACACATGATGGAGATGAAAACAAGGGCAAAGACACCTAATATCCCTAAGAAAGTACTGTTCAGAAAATTACAATTCATAAATGATACTACTGAAGAAATCGTGACTCAGAAACTAAGAAGAGCTGTACAAAAAACATTTGATGCAGCCAGATTGAATGCTATCTCCTCAACCACCCCCAAAATGAGGACGGCCAATAAAAACAGACTGCCTGAATCCGCCAAATCCATGTGTATCAATCGGTTCAACTGCCCGTGTGGAGCCAGTTATATAGGGCGTACAATTCGGCAAGTTGCTCATCGTATTACAGGGCATCATCTGTCGTGGTTAAGCAAAGGACAGGTAAAAGTGATTAAAAGTTCTATTCCCGCTCACTTGGTTGACACAGGTCATCAAGTTGAATTGAATAAGGCTTTTAAGGCTATCTACCATATTCCATCAAATCTGCCACATGGTTTACGAGTGCGCATTTCGCACATTGCGGAAGTCATCGCAATCCATGTTCACAAACCTAATCTTTGCATCCAAAAGAGATTTGTACAACCATTTTCGCTGCCTTGGCCATCGGTATAAGATTTCATTCAACAGAACTATTTTTCATACTTCTTCCATTTGTTATTTTTTATTTTGCTTTTGTTGTTTTCGAACTTTATAATTTCTTAATATTCATCTCTTGATTCTTACGTAACTACTATTCTAACGACCATCCATTAAAAATTATGTTCCTTCACTTTTCCATATATTATGCAACGTAGCAACTTCTTAATGTAATAATTACTTTGAATATTAATAATCATCTTTCTTCCAATTACTCAATGTTAATTTAAATGTCATTATGTATTTATTACGTAACGTATCCACTTGATGAGTATTATATCATTATTGTAAA